GCTGGTGCCAGTCTAAACCGTCCTGTTCCTGAACTCCCCGATGGGATCACCGCTTAATTGCAGAGCTTGGGAAAATGCTCTGTTTAAAATCCAGCCAAGTGGTTCCTGCGTTCAGCAGCAGAGGGTCTGTCTCTCCCGGTGTCGTGAAGAGCTCTGATCCTTCCTCCAGACCCAGGTATTGTGGAAAGAGATGTATTTAGGGATTTTCCAGTCTAAACCGTCCTGTTCCTGAACTCCCCGATGGGATCACCGCTTAATTGCAGAGCTTGGGAAAATGCTCTGTTTAAAATCCAGCCAAGTGGTTCCTGCGTTCAGCAGCAGAGGGTCTGTCTCTCCCGGTGTCGTGAAGAGCTCTGATCCTTCCTCCAGACCCAGGTATTGTGGAAAGAGATGTATTTAGGGATTTTGCCACACCAGCTGCTCCTCTCGCTACCCAGGTGGATCTGGATACCCCCTGGGGACACTGGACCTCCTGCTGCCAGTGCCTCCCTGCAGGGCTGGCTGGGAGAGGGTGGACGGAGGGCTCTGAGCTGTGCACGGTCTACCTGTGTCCTTCCACCTCCTTTTCCCTGCTTGCCAGTGAACGTCCCACAATGGGTACGTGTTTCTGGGTGAGCTATCTTCCAAGATCCCGCCCTAGGCAGGAGTCTGAAACAACTAGAGCCGTGGCTGTTGCTTTGTCTGGCGTGCTCAGCGCTGAGAGTTGGCGTGACCCCCTGCCTTGGCCTCCCCCTCGCTTTTCGGGGACAGCACCAAGGGTGGACACAAGTCTCATGCGGATCTGAGGAGCACCTGTGAAACTGGCAGGCTGGGTTGCTCAGAGCAGAGCCGCTGCAGGGACCTGGGAGCAGTTGGGCTCAGTTTGCTCACGGCTGAAGGGACAAGCAGTGAGCTCTTGCTCTGGGGCTCTGCAGTGGTCGATTCTCGCTGCGAGAGTTTGTCCTTGCCACCAGCAAGAGAAGCTTCTAGTCCCTTCATGTGGTTTTCCTGCCCTGTCACACTCTGTAGTGCCCGGCTGTAACATGGTAAAGGCCTGAGCACAAGATCTCATCACAGCAGTGGAAGCCACAGCTTTGTGGCTTTTCTCCTAAAATCGCATCTCTCTTCCTTAGGTGTGCCTCTGAGCTGCGTCAGGGCTCAGGAATGTTTTCAGGACTTCACAGAAAGTAGGGCTTCCTCCAACTCCAGATGAATGGCAAGGGACCAGAGGGATCCCGCTGTGAAGTGGTGGCATGAGCAGGGATGCTCCCCAGCTGTTGCTGGATACTCAGTTTTCCCCCTGGAATTCAGTCCTCAAGGCAGGCTGGTTGCAGAGGCCAAAGTGTAGCTCAGTGTTTAAAAGCTCCCAAATCTTCTTTGGGCTCTTTGCTTTCATAAAAAAAAAGCCAGGAGATCTTGTAAAAACATGCTAGGAGGTGACTCCTCCAGCTCCCGGCGGTGGGGGATGGAGGAAGATGAAGTTGTCTTCCTGAAACCGGTAACGCTTTGCCCAATTTCACCAGCGTGCCGAGAGGCAGGTGCCCATCTGTCCGTCCGGGTGCCTCAGCTCAGCTGCCCCAGATTGAGACAAGTGTCCTTCCAGGTACGGAGGTGTCCAAAGTCAAAAGTGATCTGTTTAAAAATAAAATAAAAAAAAAACTTTGGCATAAGGCATTTGTGGGAAGCCAGAAGGGGGAATGACTTGGGCAGGAGTTCCTGGCTGCAGGAGCCATGCTTGGATCCCGCCCCTCCGTGTTCGTGCTGGCCCTGGCATCCTGGGCGATACACAAACGTAGTGCCAGTGCCCGTCCCAGTCAGGCGGCGCTGCTGGCCAGTTCCTCGCTGTATGAGCACGACTGGAGAGCTGGGGTTGGGAGCTGGAGCGGGGCGGCTGCCCCAGCCCTCTGGCGCATGGGGTTTGGGGGGAGCCATGTGGGCGTTAGCGAGGGGCAGGTT